TCTGGATTATGGCAACCGGTGAAACTCCATTCTCTCGCAGAACAGATGACATTCATCTCACATTTGCTATTTGTGATGGATTACGGCCTAAAATTCCAAGTGGAATTGCTCCCGAATGCTACATCAATTTAATGAAACGTTGTTGGGATTCGGATCCTGCTAAACGCCCGACTGCTAAAGAAATTTATAAACATATACGAGCTTGGCATGTGTTCATGTATATGCGAAAGAATAACGATACATTTGGATTTCGAGCTGCCGATACAGAGTTTAAGAAGCTACAGGAAAAACATTTACAACCAAAAACTCTATTGTTTGAATCAAGTAATACAAAGTCTCACTTATCACATGTTAATTGGCCCAATTTTCTTACTACATATATATCAAGAACATTTATAAATGAATCGCATTTATTTAGCCTTGCAATTTCGATAAGTATGTATTCTTTTTTCAATTGGCCATTTACAACTCTTTGTTTCCTCAAATTAATAATATTTTTATAACACTTATTAATATCATACAATCAGGAAACAAATCAAGATTAAAACAAAAAAAACCAAGTCTGCTAAACAAGTCTGATTCGAAACTATCGATATTTCAATTCTTTGCAAAAAATATTGTGTAATTAGTTTAGTTGTTCGTTTTTTTATTTTATTTTTTGCTTTTGCTATATAGCTTTTCTTTATATTGGTAGTTTAATTAATAGATTGTTGCATAGTTCATAGTTTGATTTGTATTTAAATAAAAATCCTTTACACTTCAAAGTTATTGGATGGCTTTAGACCGTTCGCACCATATTCAACATTTGTTCGACATATGTCTAATATTTGTCACACGGAAAATTGCTACTTTTGTTGAATGATTGTTGTATGAATGTTGAAAAATAATGTTGAACAAAACAATTTGGACATTTGTCAGACATTACGTAGTTGAACATTTTTTTATAGGGCTGTAAAGTCCGGTTGTCTAAATAGGTGAATAATTTAAGAATGGTGCTCAATAAAAAATGTGTACTTATATAACAATAGTGTAGGAACTCTTAAACCGACAATATGTTTCCTGTTAAAAATTCTATCAAAGAAGTAAAGCTAAAATTTAACTGGTAATATTATAGAAAAGGACTTTCTTGATAATATTACCGGTCAAATTTTGGATTTACTTCTTTGATAGAATTTTTAACAGGAAACATATTGTCGGTTTAAGAGTTCCTACACTATTGTTAATAGACACTTTTATTAGACACCAATGAGGAATGTTCAAATTTGTCTAACTATTTATTTTAATTACAGTCTTACAAATTAAAGAATAAAACAACGTTTGTGCATAAAAGAAAAAATTATCAAGAGAAAGTATATGTCTCAAAAAAAAAGTTAGTGCATTTCTTGCTACGTATCGTCATATATGGGTTGAATTAAAACACTATCGTTATTGTTATGTCTTATCCAATCAATTATTATCTACGCCAGAAATAATGCCAGAAAATATCAAAATCTCAAGGCAATAATACCATTCAAGAAAGATAACGGTACGTATTGTATACGTACAGTATTTCAGAAACCATTATTATTGAATACGTACGTACTCATTTGTAGCTGGGCTTTAGTTATTCTATGATAATATATTTGACCTCTTCTGCACTTTTGAGAAATCTGAACTTATTTTTGAAAACTTGTTTTTATTAGAAAACGTTTTATAAATGATTTCAACACAACATTGTGTCTTCTAGATTGGTTAAATTTCCATGATTCACTCTCGTCTAGTGCATTCATGCATTATAATTACCTCCAAAACCTCCTTTTGCAAGATATTCAACATTAGTGAATTCTTAATTTTCGTGAATTCTTTCCGCTAGACAATTCCGCTGATAGTCGAAGCACTCTCTGATATCCATATTTACAAAAATGCCTTTACTACAACCATGATTACTGTGATCGTATAATTGAAACATTTACTACAATCATGAGTTTGAATATTATTAACAAGTTCTGGTCGATGTACAGTTCCGGCGGAAAGTAGTGGCGGTGAGCTTGTTATGTAAATTTTAGTATAATACTAGCATTTTTTTATATATAAATAAGTGCCAGATTTCTAGCAAGATAATAACAATTAAAAAAATAAATAAGTGATGAATTTGCGAATCACGGCCAGTTAGTTTCCCAATTGCAGGTTGTAAATTTTTCAAAACTTATTTTTCTCAATAACCAGTGATCAAACTTTTATAATTTTGGTCTTATTAAATTCCTCAATAAGAACATTTCGATACTAATTTCATTTTAATCAAAATAATATTTATCGAATTATTGCGATTTTGTTTTTTTTTTTAGTTAAAAACGTTCAAATTACAAAATTTTCAGAACATTAAATTTATTCAAACTTGCATTGACACGAAAAGAGATCACATCAAGTACTGATATTTTAGGGGCATAATTAGGTTGTTAATGGGGCACTCCGGCGTCACGCCGAAGTGGGTTATTTAATGATCCGGAGTGCTCCATTAACAATTCTAGGCATAACGCCCTACTCTCAAAGGCACTATCGAGATAATTTTTTTAATTTTATTATACAATTGAATGAAATGTAATAAAAAAACTGGCCGTCATTACTTTCCGCCAGAACTGTATGTGTTTATATACTTTGGTGCAATGTTTCTGAGCTTTGATTATGATTTGAATTTAATGAATTAATTATTTAGCATATACGTACATTATTAAGAATATCTACAATTAGAAATAAATTACAAATAGAAAATTTACGAAAAATAAGTGCACTTTAATCATCTTTAGCTCTCGGATCAATAACCTCAAACACCTCCAACTCAACCCACGAAAAAAAGCCCTGTGTCCCAAAAATCTTTTCAGCATAAGTCTGCCTCACAGACTGACCAATCTTTTGCCCTCCGCTAGCACTTATATTAACCCACAAATCTGGTCCAGTCCCAAAACAAGGCCCATTCAATGGATGATCTTGCACTCCTAAATCGCAAAGATGATTGACTATTCTTGACAGTTTCGCGCCCTCGATGAACTTTTCACTTGAAAATGAAAATACGAATCCTGTTTCGTTGCCACGCGATGATGTAAACCAGGCACGTTTAAATCCGTTCGTGATAGGATTATAGCCGCCGAGTATTTGTTCGGAATCACGAAGTTTCACCAGGAGGATTGTTGGGCCTGCTTTATCGCATTTAGCGTGGAATTTTTTTGCAGAGATTCCGTCACGGCTGGAACGGTACAGCAGTTCAAATGTTTGTGGGATGCAGTCACTTTCTATTTTTGTGTTTCCGTCTATCCAAGAAGCGATTAATGACGCGTGTTTCGGTTTTATTATTGTCGAATCTATTTTCATTGGTGGGAAACGAAGAGGGAATAACTCATGTACTGTTGTTGATAAAAATTTATGGATTCGAAAATACTCATTCGCAAGATTTTCCGGTAAAATCATTTCAAAGGGTCTCACAAACTGTATAAAATCATCTTCGGGAATATTAAAAAACCGTACAAACGGTAATAGTCTGGATAATGTTTGTTTCAACAACAAATAATAATAATCATTGTTCTTTTCAGAGACTACTTTTGCAAAATCTTCATGTTTGCGACTTAATGGAGAATTAGCTTGTCCCCATTTCAATAAACCACGCCAAATATCAATCTCACGAATACTTAATCCATCATACATTAATATTGAAGCAAGTGTCATCTCGTGCAATAATTTAAAGTTCGGTGACCTGAATATGATATCTGCGTCTCGTTGAATAATCTCTTCAAAACAGAAATTATTTAGACGCATGCATGCAGGACGAGGCGTGACTACATTAAGAACTTCAATAATTATTTTATCTACCCAGAGTGATTTATTTTTAATAAAGTATGTTTGAATATCGTCGACCAATTCTTCGAATATCATTTCGTCGGCGGCAATTAATAAATTTAGGCAGTCTAACGGGCAAAAGCTGTGCAAGTCTATACCGTCATTATAGATATACCTAAAACGAAGAAAGTCAGTTAACGAAAGATCGTTTTCAAATTCCAGAATGTTATATTTTGTTAGTTTATACCTTAATAAAGTCTCAAATATTCGTGGAGAAATATTTGGTTTCTGAAAAAAATATTTGTCTCCTTGTTTTGTTGCCCATTTATTCGATAATGCGGCACAAAAATACACTGACCGTTCTTGTAGTATATGAGTATTTGCTTCAAACCATTTCCTCTCGCCAAAAGTATCACCTACTTGAATCACCACATTTAGTTCGTCTTTTAGATTTTTCATTTTTCAAAATAGCAAGAAAAAAAATGCAGATAATAAATTCAAAAACAAAATTCTTACGAAACTTCGGCGGATTCAGACATTTTAAAAGATTCGACTGAACTTAATTTTTCCGATTGAATAGAGCACAAAATGTATTAGTGCTTTGACTTTATAAATTCGGTGTTCGCATATTACCTATCAACGCGTCAACAAAGTGTTGCCTATGCAAAAGGCTAAAGTTGTGTAAAAGATACCGATACTACGTACATACATGTATAGTATCGGAATTCTGTGTTGGGTAACATACATGTTACGTATTTTGTACTTAATATATTCGACATGTGCATTTGTAAAGTTGCGCCTTAACGTTAACATTAATTATTTTGTTTTTTCAATCACCATAACACATTGGGGTGCTCGATATACATGTACTATGTATGTATGGTATCAGAATTTTGATTACCTAACTATAAAAAACGAGGACCCGATTTTTAGATGTGGGGACTATACAACATTTCCTTTTTAAATTATTTAAATATCATTCAATTTTCACGCGCGTTATAACAAAAGTTACGAAATTTTTATTTACATTAATTATTATCTTTATATTTTTACCTAATCTTTTATTTCGTTGAATATTCAAGTTAATAGTAAATATTTTTTTAGTTAATATGTAAAATTTGACTTCGTAAACTTGTTCGTTTTGGACTTAATATGTTTAAATTTAACTTCAAAATATTTAGTCGTGAAGGTTACACATCTAATTAATCAATCATGGGTATTTACACATCATATAAACGTCGATTTCAATTAAAAAATGCAAATAAAATACGTCTTGAAAAACAGCAAAAGAATTCTGAAACGACTTCCACAGATAACGAAAACCAACAACGAGCTGACTTAATTTCAACAATACAACGATTACTTGAAAATGAAGTATCATTAGCAACCAGTCTTATATCAAATATGCGATATCCAAAAGGTCCAAATAAAGGAAATATAATTTCACCATACTTGCAAAAAAAAGCACATAATTATATTTCTCAAAATCTTTACAAACATCAATCCACTCTACAAGATTCAAATTCAAAGTTAAAACAAGAAAATAAAAGACTTCATCGAAAAAATCAAGCACTTGTTAAACGAACCCAATCACTTGGAGCAAAAGTTCAACACACTCTGAATCAAAAATCAAAGCACATTGCTGAAATCTGTTCTTTAGTTTGACGCTCAAAGCAAATTACTAATGAAGAATTTCGTGAAAAGGTTAAATCTATTTTTAAACCTAATAAAACATCTTATTCTTCAAATACAATTTGGCTTGCTATGAGTATTTTACAAGTGGACCAAACATCATTACACTTTGCTGTTGAATATATGTGATTAGTTTATGAATTTCTAACAGGAGAACCACCTCAAGATTGGTTAGCAACATCTACTCTATGTACATGGCATCAAGATGTTTCAGAATTATATTTTAATAAGCAAATTTATCAAGCAAAAAATGCACCTTTATTTTGAGTAATGATTGATGAATCAACATGAGGACAAGTAGAAAATTTAATACTTTGCTATCAATTTTAGAGTGAAAAAGATCAATTATCTATTGCAATGATTGCTCAACTACAATATATTAAAAAATATAATGCTGAAACTGTATCTGATATCACAATCATGCATATTAAAGAAAGTGATTTAGATATTAAAAAATGTGCTTTATGGATAACAGATAATGTCTGGTGATAAAAATGGAGCTGTTATTCTTTTTAATAAAAAAAACAAATGGAAATTCATTACAGATTGGTTGTGAACTTCATATTGTTCAAATTATAATGAATCATTTTGAACAAGAAGCTTTTGGTGCACTTTCTAATAGTATAGATTTTTCAAAAAAATCACATTCTTATAATTTGCTTTACTTAGCTTGAAATTATATAATGATTATAATTCAAGTAATAAAGACAAGCCACTTAATATAAATTTGCAAATAATCAAGAATTTGTATGATGAATTATTAGAATTTTACTATAATCAATATTAATTATCACTTTGAACACGTTGGAATTATGAATTACAGATAGCTAAGCAATATTTTAATTAATATTTAGCACATATTGAATTTGTTAGCTGATTTATTAATAAAATAGAAACTCATAAAATTTCAAAGCAATGTCTTAATAATTGGTATTTTTTCAATCTTGATTTCTTAATTTGAATATTTTTATAAATTATTAATACAATTTATAACTGAACAAAATATAGTTTTATATATTTATCAAAATGAATAATTGGCTAAATTATCTTCTAAGCAATATGCTCATGAAATGTTAGACAAAGTTTATAAGTAATATAAATTTCTTCAAAAGCTTGTTAAAAATTTTGAAATATTCTTTGCTAATGAATTGTTAAAAGTATTGGATACTTTAGCTAGTGAGAAATTAAGAATATTTTTTAATAATTTAGAAAAAGGAATTACTAAAGTCTTGAAATATTTTGAAAAATGATTCTTATTTTGACTTTATTTCTTATTAGTTATTTGTTATCTTAATGATAATAATGCTAGATCTTTTGCTTTTAGTTTTTATTATATGATCTTAATGAAATCACCAATAGAATTAGAGTTACAATTTGCTAAAGAACTCAAAAAATAATTAAAAAATGAAATAACTGATATCTTTAATTTATATGAATTGTTAATATAAAATAATAAATTTTTTTAGAGAATTTGAACAATTCTGTATCAATGATAAATTATTATATATAATTTATATAAGTTTGTCAAGACTTGGATCTATTTTATAATTATTCATCAACAGCAAGTAAAGGATCTTTTTAACAAATTGGATCTAAAAACTCATCACAATATGTCACTATTAGTCAAGCAATCTAAACTTTGTTTGTCCTCAAGCAAAATTGATAAAGAAAATTTATTAAAAGAATTAAAAGAAGCAAAGGCAAATAAAAAGAAAAATCTGCTTCAAGAAATATATTTATCACAATATGAACCTATATTACTTCAAATCTTTTTAATAATTTGTTATATTAATAATTAAATACATATATATAAATTAGTGATCGACATTATTATATGATCACATATAGTTTTGATTTACATAGTATCGGTATATCGAGCACCCCAATAACGATAACACATGTTCAAAGTATGTAAATATCGATATACACCAATCGCAATCACTCTATGAATTAACGTTAACGTCATGACTTTTAAAAACCATGTCCATCCATACAATCATATATCGATATTGTTTATTTGTGTCAAGATTTTTTGGGAATAGTAAAACAAATTGATCTACCCAAATAAGCCCGATGACGATACGGGGGTATGATGAACTTTGTGGTACGTAATGATGAAAATGATGACACATCGTGAGCACATCGATTTGCTCAGTTTAGCATAAATTAAAAAACTGAAAAATTATATATATCGAAGTAAGAAATTTTACAATTCAAATTTTCACGTAAAAAATGTATCCTCTCGAAAAATTTACAATCGATCACAACTATAAATCAGAATACGACGTACTAATAAAAGTCGGCGAATTACCCAACGAAATAAGATTTTTCCAAGCACACTCGCACATCTTACGCAAAAGTTCTGCATACTTCAATGTAGCATTATCAAGTACTTGGGCCAAGAGAAACGAGCAAGTGTATATATTTAACAAAGAGAACATCTCAGCCAAAGTCTTCAGTATAATTCTCGGGTATATATACAGTAAGACCATTGATCTTGTGAATCTGGGACCACAATTGACTTTGGATTTGCTGATTGCCGCGGATGAACTTATATTTGAGGATATCTTGGAGCTAGTGCAAACTTATCTGGTGTCAATAAAGCCAAATTGGATAAAGGGGCATTTGATTATGATTTTAAATACTGTTGCGCCACGTATAACCACCTGTCAGAAACTGTTTGATTATTGTTTGGATTATATAATTGCTTGTAGTCCCGAAATCTTATTTAATCCATCGAATCTTTCGAAACTTGACGAAGCGGCGCTCATCATAATTCTAAAAAGCGACAACCTGCCGATGAAAGAAATCGATATCTGGAACCACTTGATCAATTGGGCAAAATCAAAAGCAATAGATAATGATCACGAAAGCGCGGAAAAACTATTATTAAAAAACACTATTGCACCATTTTTCTTGTTGATAAGGTTCAATCATATTAGCATCAACGAATTCATCGCCAAGGTTCTGCCGTATATTAAATTTCTGCCGGAAAATTTTGCTCGAGACTTTATTCTTTTTCATTTTGAAGGCACATCACCAACCACATTTTCTCTTTTGCCACCACGACTTCCACAAATACGAATAGACTCAAGCATCATAAAACCAAAACAGGCAATACTGTTATCATCATGGATAGGCGGAAAATCCGACATCGAAGGACCAGTTGCATATTCTTTTCGAAAACTGTATCACGCAAGTCAAGATGGACTCTCTAATAAACAATTTCATCGTAAATGCGATAAAGCCGGTCCAACAATAGTAGTTCTGAAGACATCTAATGATGGTAGAGATCAAATAATTGGTGGATATAATCCTGTGATTAATGGATGAAGACGAGGATGGTTTTCATCGATACGTGGTAAATCTTCAGGATTTCTGTTTTCGTTTAATAATAGCACAAATCTTGATGATGAAAGTGAAGACGCGAAAATCAGTAAAATACGTGAAAATTTTATCCAACTAGGTATTTATGATCATCCCGGTGATGGAATTTGTTTTGGGAGTGGTCCCGATTTATGGATAAATCTTAACGTTAATAGTCATAATAAACAGTATGGACAATGTGTGCAACGTGCTTATAGTTTTGGAGTTAAAGAACAGCAGGGGCGCTTTTATTGGGATGATTTAGAAGTGTTTGAGGTTCTGGATAATCAATCTGGTGGAAATCTTGTGATCTCCTAAGAATGGAAATACTAAAGCTGTATCATATGTACATATGTAATGTTTTTTCCAAGAATCACTTAATTTCTAATCTTACTCGAATAATCTTCATCGTATCAGCTACTTTTGAAAATCAGTGGAACCATTAAACGTGATTGTGCTAGCGTCATACAAATTTCGTATTACATGTATAAATATAAAAGTAAAAATTTCGTATATACATGTAGCATAAATTTAACGTTAATATAATACTTGAATCAAGCAAATTGTTTTTACTGACGGTCCTCTATATACTAACGTCTTTGGTGAAGCCATCAACTCGAGCTCAAACTCAAAAATCTGGTTGCAAATACAGTCGGACCCGATTTTGTCACACCCGATGTTATCACATTTTCCATCGTACGTATACATACTCTCCCGAATTTGGCATACTTCCTAATTAAAATTCTATCCCCCCCATTTTTCGTGTTTATTAATTTCCCCAAAGTTCTGATTGGACACAAGTAATTTCCATCGCTGATTGGTTGACTGCACACCGGGTCTTCTAAATCAACCAACAAAGACGCAAAAATCGGGTGCAAAAGCATAATTATAATCTGTGCTTGGTTCGCGATCACATGAGAACAAACCAATAAGAATGCGCAAATCATATGTGTGCCGGCAACTATTAAAGGTCAATTTTATCGTTGTGTTAGGTAAGGGTTAGAGTAGAGAACAAGGTTATATGTAAAATTGCCTCCCCGACATGTTTTATTAGAACTTCAAGTTAGATTTAGATGTTTCCCGTATTTTTCATATTTTCACACTTTGTGTCGGATTTGTTTTGCCGGGCTGATCAAAAATTTGCGCATCCTTATTGGTTTGTCATGTGCATGTGATCAAGAACTGAGCACAGATTCTATATATGCGTGCAAAAAGTATATGTAAATTTGACCCCGAAAATAGGCTACCCCCTCCCCTTTGTTTTGAAGTCTAAGCTTCGGAGATATACGGTGCATAATAAGATTTTGACGGGTGAATATTTGACGGTAACCGTAAGGTTAATGCAACTACGATAAATATCGATAAACTATAAGCAATAAAAATCACAGCTTTTATAAATCATTTAATCAAATAAATTGTTTTTGCATGGTTCTTAAAAATCTCGAATTCATTCAGTTGGCATGAATTTACAAGTACGCATGAACGTTGTCCGAAGATTTTGGTGGACATGGGAGATGTCCGAATGTCCGACACAGACAAGTAAATCTCAACATAGGCTAGCACTAAAGTCCTTTGGGGGGGGTGATTAATACTAATAGACGCGGACATCAAAGTCCCGGTGATAAAAAATTGAAGTTTGCATTAGAACTAGTTGAAGGATTAGAATTTATACATGATTCCAAAATAATTCATAGAGATCTGGTAATGGACTTTTTGAATTCTTCTATTTAAAAACGTTAGTTTTTAAACAGATAAAACAATTCTAATTTTACATGTGATTTCACCAAATACATGTACCAGAACCATACTAATGAGCTAGTGCACCAAGAGAAAATCAAAATTTCGATTCAAAACTTTCAAATGATTATTTCAATTCGAAGACTGGTTATGGGATGTTAAGCTATGTTGATTCGGCTTTTTACTGGATCCTGATAATATCGCCGAGACGAAAAATCAGATATCTTCAGTCTTGGAATTCTTTTTTGGGTTATATATAGTGTCGCATTCCAACCAACCGATTCGGGTATGCATCGTCTAATCCAACATATGAAAAAGAAATTACGATTTTTGGAACTCCTAAAAAGTATGTTACGCTCTATACCAAGTCATAGACCTGATATTCATGAAGTGAGTCAGAAATTTAAAGAAATTGAGTGGGTGTCATTGGAAAAAATCAGCAGACATAGCAGATAATTCTACAATCAGCACTTCTCGTAGTAGTTTGATCGATTATGAAGAAAATGTAGAAGATATACTATTACAGCTGCAATCAAACCCTGAAATTTCAACTACTGGAAAAACCTTAGAATTAATAATCAATGAATTATCAAATATTTTATATGATATACTTACTTCTGGTGAACTCAAGAAAAAGCAGCCCAGCAACTGCGTATACATATCGATACACATAATTGTGATAATGAGCAATTAAACTTTATTTTGTATAATGATCAAAATATAAGTAACTTGAATACTTTAATGGGATTTTTATCAATATGGAATAAGTGTGGACCAACATAGTAAATTAGCATTTCAAAATTACGAAAGATCAGCAAGTGAAAATGACGTCTTATAACAACTTTTACTTGCAAATTGCTTCCTATGTGGGATTGGAACACAAAAAGATGTGAGAAAAAAGCATTTGAGTGCTATTTAAAATCAACAGAGGATGGAAATACTTAAGATTGGTCAGTGTTATGAGTATAGAATCGGAACACGAAAGACAAGAAAAAAGCATTTGAAGGTCAGTATCATCTCGGTCGGTGTTATGAGTATAGAACCGGAACACGAAAAGACAAGGAAAAAGCATTTGAGTGGTATTTGAAATCAGCAGAGTGGAAATGCTTATGGTCAATGTAAGCTTGGTTAGTGTTATGAGTATAAAATCGGAACACGAAAAGACAAGAAAAAAGCATTTGAGTGGTATTTGAAATCAGCAGAGGGTGAAAATGCTTATGGTCAATGCAATCTTGGTTTGTGCTATGAGTATAGAATCGGAACACAAAAAGATGAGAAAAAAGCATTCGAGTGGTATTTGAAATCAGCAAAGGGTGGAAATGCTTATGGTCAATGTCTTCTTGGTTTTTGTTATCGTCTCGGTATTGGAACTTTAAAAGATAAGAAAGAAGCCAAAGCGTGGATTGATATTGCACCCAAAACTGGTTTAAGATCTGCATTATAAATTTTCCTAGATGAGAAAAATCAAAAATGATTACATTTTTGTTCAGAATAATTAACTTAGTTGCTTTGGATATATTATCTCAATATTTTGTGATCTGTTTCAAGCAAAATCCAATTATTTGAGACAAATTAAATAATAGTATTTATGTTCAAAACAGTTTACTGGATGAAATCCAAAGTGATTGTATAATTTTTTTAAAGATATTTTGTTCAGTTTTTTCACCATCATTGATTCGTTTATCTAAATGGATCGAATAATAGTAGTAAAGCTCTGTTCGGGTCGGATTTGATCCAAAAATCGTAAAATACTTTTTTGTTAATAACGTTCATTTTTACTAAGACACTTGTATTTGTGTCCTAAGTAGAGTTGTTCGGAATATAATTGTGTATATACCCACAAATTGTTGTTTAATTTCAATTAATATTGAACGAGAAACAATGATTTTTAGGCTGACCTGAAATGTGCATTCCGGAGCAGGTCACGAATTGGACCCGACCCGGTTGGAGCACTAAATGGTAGTATTTCATTTGAATTTAATCCCTGAATACCAAGATACCGTGTCCAAAAATGGCCATTTTATTTTATGAAAAGCTATTATCTAATTGAATTCATGATGCGATTTTTACTAATACTAATCAAAATCAAGCATCAATATACTAATAATTATGATCAATAAAATAAACTTTTAATTTATATTATATTTGTATTACATATATTAAATAGAATCAGTCAATTCAAACTTGGTCTTTGAACTGCAATCTAATGTTTGTGAACTCAAGTTAAACAAATACTACCAAGCATTAAGTCTGGTTTGGCTTGGCTCAAGCTGACTCATGAGAAACGTTACTTTTTATTAACTCTACAATAATGAATTTTTTGTACAATAAAATTTAACTAAAAAATCATAATTTTTCTTGTGTAATAGTTTATTGCAAGAAATCTACTGATTTTTTATTCTTGTATATTCAATAATTTAAAGTTAATTTTTCTTTTTAAAGATCTCTTTCCATTAATATTCTTTTATTTTTTTGTTTATCTTTATATAATTGGATCAGAATGATTTTTATCAAATATTATTTGTTCATATATAATTTTGACAAGGTATAAATCATGTTTGTAGCTTTTTATATTTTATTATTATTATTACAATTTGAAATATTTTCAAATGTGAACAGAAATAATTATTTCTAAAACATTCTAAATAATTTAAATTGATATTTTTCTTATAATATCAATTTAAAAAAGAAGAAAATACAAAAATTTTAAAGTGAACTCAATAACTAGAAAACTTTTACTATTTATTTATATATTATTAAAAATAATTTTCAGCTAAAAAACATGAGTAAAAATTAGTTTAAAATTTTAATTGACTTTATTCATGTTTTTTTTTAGCTGAAATTTATTTTTAATAATAGTAAAAGCGTTTTAGTTATTGAATTCACTTTAAAAGATTTGTATTTTCAATTTTTTTAGATTAATATTAAATTATTTTGTTTACATTTAGAATATTATTAAAAAAAGTTAACTTAATTATAAATAGAAATAATTATTTTGTTAATATTCTAAACTGTATTATTTAACAATATAAAATTTTTATAAATAGTTTGTTTATTATATTCAAAAGTTGTGAATATTTGTGAATTTTTTAAAAGGACTTTCTGATATTTGTATATTATTTAAAAGATTTTCTGATGTTAATTGATCTTTTATATAATATTTAAGAGTTTAAGACATTTATCTAGAAAAAGCAACAATCAAAACGCCCTCTCCCATCTGAAGCACATAATCGCTTCCCAAATCAACTCAATCGATGATATCCGTAGATATCAGCAGAGTTTAGATACTGAAACAAGTATTACTCAGTTTATTAACCTCTTTCAAAGTCTTGTTGCAGCAGAAATCCTCCAATTTGCTCAAACAAAACAAAACTGCAACAACACACATAATTGGTGCTCCAACCGGGTCAGATCCGACCCGGAATGCACATTTCGGGTCGGGTCGGATTGGGGTAAAATCCGACCCGAAATAGTTCGAGTCAGCCTAAAAATCGTTATTTCTCGTTCAATATTAATTGGAATTAAACGAAAATTTGTGGGTATATACACAATTAC